GCAATATCTCTGGAACTCACGTGTTTCTTGCAGGTTTTGTCATAAGAGGCTGATCTAAAAAGAGGTGGTGGTGGAGATACATGGATACACACTTGAACAGGAGCATGACTTTCCATGTTCGGTTTTCTCAGGAAGTCAGGAAAAAAAAATTAAAAAAACCTAAACTCCAAAAAAACAACCAAACAACCGACCAAAAAAATTCCAAAACAAAACACACACCCCTAAAACCAACCAACCAAACAAAACACCAAAAGAATACCAAAAAAACCAAAGCCAAAATGGCTTAAGATTTTTTTTTCCTTTTTTAACTTGCATGAAAATCTTCAGACTAAAAAGGAAAGACAGGAACTAGACTGATCTTTGGACCTTCCTCCTAAGAGTCACCATGGAGTTAGTAGTATTTCCTAGCCTGCTACAAGCTGTCAGAGTAAATCCACCATGTGGATGATATTTATTACTTTAGCATTTAATGAAATGCTTTGTATCACTGGACAGACCCTTGTTGATATTCTTAAGTATCAAAATACAGCATATTTATCATTCTGAAAAAAGAAAAGAGTAGCTAACATGTTAGCTGTTCTGCTATGACATGAATTTCTCTCTAGTCCTTAAAAACTGCAGTAAATAGAAATAGTCCTAGCAACAACAGTGATATAAACACAAATGTGTTTCCTGAAAAGCAGGAAGCAGCTTAACAATCATATCATATGACTAGCTAAATAGAGAAGAACTTCGCTGGGTTTTTTCCAGGGCATTAGAGCAAATTTCCATGTGACTTTGTGGGACATGACCGTTGCTTGAGCTGTTGTTACTGGAAAATCATTTTACTCTGCAGCATGGGCACTTCATACATTTTGTCCTGCCTTGTGAAGTTCCTCGTCTTGTAGGAATCCATTTCTATTTAGCCTGTGCATGAGCAATGAGTACGTGAGAAAGGCTGAAGAAAGAACACTGAAAGCTCTGCAACCCCACGTGGCCCCATCAATTGGTCTTGACTGTGAATGTACACAGCTGTTTCAAGGCCGCTGGGTCTGGCACAAGAGCAATATGAGTATTTCATCTGCTGTTACTCTCTGATACATTGCTAGTTCTGACTAACAGGAAAAAAGAACCACGTGGAGTCTGTCCCTCACATTGAACCACCAAAGAGTTGTCCAGTGGAAATGCTTTTCCCTCTTAGAAATGGCAGACTGAACCAGATTTGGCCTAGCAGCCAGATCTTCCTAATCCATGTCCTGTCTATCGTAAATGGTCATGCCAGTCCCTAAAATGCAAAAATTGACCTCTTCTAGTATTTAGCCTTGAGAATATAAGTGATGTAAACCGATTGTTCAAGAGGTTGTCTGGAGCATGGGTTTGCAAGCTTGAGCTGATAGTTTGTAGTTATTGTGACATTCTACTAATTTTTCTGGTTAAATACATGAATTGATTTTTTTTAACAACAGAAGTGAAGTTAAAATTGCAAAAAGAAGTAAAAAAGGAAAAACAATGAAGAGAGTAAATCTGCAAGTGAAATCTTAAAAAAACTCTCTTCCTATTTTGTGCATGGTGAAAAAAGCCATACTTTATGTATTAAATTAACCCATGAAGTGAGTGGGAAGTAAAAAAATACTATGAGTTATGAAGGTTAGAGGTCTCTATATATTATAGGTATCTGAGAGCCAAATGTAACAAGTGAAAATCCATTGTACCGAATCAACAGTGTGTTTCTACATTAGTCTATTTGTAGAATGAATCTTATGGACTCAGTCAGATGAAGCACCTAGAGAGAAATCTTTAAGGATATTTAGGTGCCTTACATTTCCAAGAGGTGTTTAGTGGTGTTTTAAAATACATCCAGAAGTAATCCATAGCAGTTAAGTACATAGTAGGATTTTGAAACACCTAAGTGCCTTTAAAATCCTAGGCCAAGTCTGTGGAGAATTAAGGAGAATGTGCAGAAGGACAGAGGCTATAATGGCACCTCCACCTTCTAAGTCAGCTAAACTACTGCCTAAACACAAGCAGGGATGAAAAGGATTTGAAGGCATATTTACATTCAATGACCAACAAACGTTGCTTCTTTCAGATTACTAGCAGTAAAACATGGAGAAGCTGCAAGTTGATTCAGGTCTGACTGAAAATTAGAAGTTGTTTTACGTAACTGTAAAATTTGTATAGGTGAGATGCAAATTTGTTGGGTAAACTGTTGCTCACCTTCATCACCCACATGGATCTACAGTCTTACGCATACTACAGTGGGTTACTTTATATGTCTGGGAAACTGGCTGAAGTTTTGGCCTCCAAATGGTGTTTAACCAACTGCTGCTCCCAAACAGTAGACAAACCTTTCTAAGATGATAGAAAGCGGCAGTGCAACCACGGATCACTGTATAGACGGGAGTTACTGTTTGCGATGGTATGGGAATATTTAGGAGAAGGAGGGGAAGAGCACCTTTGGGATTGTACAAGATGACTTATGGGATGTTCAGAGGAGGAATCAAAGGTGGGGAAAAGGGGTGGTAAAGGTGGTTTGATATAGAAAAATAAAAGGATATAGGGCTAAAATGACCTGGTTAGGTCAGTATGCTTGTCTGGCTATGCCTTGCACCTGATCACCTCAGTCTATTTTGTTTTATTAAAATATATTTTAGTTGTTTTTCTGGGTGAAAGTGGCATCTATATTCCATGTGTATGTGTGTGCATGGTAGTCTGAGTGTCAGCAATTAGAGGAGGGGGCCACAAGTCACAGGGGCTTTTGCATCTTTCATGAAGTAACTGGAGAGACCAGAGTGCATACACATTATACACATCTCTTCATCAGTGAGCAGTCACTAGTAAACACCAAGCCAGCCTAGGTGGGAGTCAAGTTTTGGAGCAGCCATAAGTCCAGGAAAGATACTGAAGAGACCAGAGGATCTGTAAGGGGGCTACTGGAGAGACAAGGGGGTCCAAACCACCTACTGGGGGACTGTGGTGGGGTCAGCTACTGGTAAGGTCACAAGTCTGGACCACCCAATAAACTTATTTGCCTGTTTGTGTCTCTGTGTGACGTAACTGAGTATCCAGAGGTCAGCCACTGAACAGGCTGAGTGTCCTAAGACCAGCTACTGGAGAAGGGAGCCACAGTTTGTTGTGCATGTCTTTAGGTCTGAATACCAGCAACTGGGATGGAACTGTGGACCTCTGGGGTAACATTTCCAGGTGCCAGCAACCGGGAAGACTTGGGATCCAGGGGTTAAATACCAAATAAGAAGAGTGTCTAAGACCAGCTACTGAAGGGATCCATATTGTATAGATATATACAAATACATATTTTTTTTCCATTAATGGGCTTCTGTCCTGATCAGCCAGAGAGGGGAACAGGATGAGGCCGTGAGTGCTGTTTGTATTTGTATGAGTGCTGTGTTTTCTGCCTGTGTCAGTCAGCGTGGACAGCCATGTATGCATGTGTATGTGTGTGTGAGGAGGTGTGTGTGTATGTGCATGTGCCTATTGGGAACACACACTCAGCCTTACCACTAGCCAGATCTGGGAACCAACTGAATTTTAAAAACTGGCATACCAGCAGAAATGATTGCAACAGGAGAGTTGATGGCAAGTACGAACAGTAAATGGGAGGATTTGCAAAGCATAGGGAAAGCCAGGCCTGGAAGGCATATTCAAGGACAAACATACAGATTCAGGCAAAGTCCAAGACAATCTCACTAATCAGGCTGCTGAATAATGACTTGTTCATGGATCTCTTCCAAAAATACAGATCACACAGAGAAGGACAGTTCAGCAGAGAAGAAGGTACATAGTGTCCAGTCCTCTGCTGGTGGATGCTTGCAAGGCAAATGTGCTGATCCTCCAGCTTGCTTTGCTGATGACAAAAAGCCATTTGACTCAGCCTAGCATGATGGTTGCGGGCTACTCAGAGGTAATTTGCTAGAAGCTGCTAGCCCTGCTGAAAGACATTTATGGAAAGGCAAGGTTGGAGCCCAGAGCACACAGTCTAGCTGACATTGGTCATGTCACACCAACATAAGGGCAGACAGGTAGGAAGTGCCTCTGAAAATACAGATTTGGGGTTATTTGGAGGTTATATATTGTTTGGTGGGGGCTAGCTTGACTGTGTCCAAGTTATAAAGAGTACTCAAGATTGTTCTACAAAAGATCCCAGCAGGGCCACCTTTGATCATGTAGATAAGGAGGTTCTATAACTCTGGCCTAAGGACTGCTCCTGCACAACAGCAGAGACTAGGTCAGGCAGTAAAGATGTAAATGGACAGATGAATGCCTCCCACCAGGGATATATACTGCAATAGGCTATGCAGACAATGGCATCCCATGGAAGAGTCACTCTGGCATCAAAGCAGGCATCCTTTACCTGGGAAACCATGCAACATTTACACAAAGGGATCATAAAGCAGATTCAGCAACTGTGGGAACTTGTTTCTTCTCTGGAGGGGAAAGAAAATCTTCTTTTTCACTAAAAATGAAGCTATTTAAACCATGCATATCCCAGGGCATGCTCCACATTGTGATGACACAAGCTTTCAGCAAAGTTGCTCTGCAGAGACTGCTTGTCATCCCAGTTAGAATTTTCAGTAGCAGCTTATCTTGTTGGCAAAACCAAGTCGGAAAAGAGCGCTGCAAAGAAGATGGTCCTTGGCAAGGCACAGAGAAGGGCTACCCACTCCTTTGGACGCTGCCCCATCAGCGAAGGCTGCGATCTGCCCGAGGAACGACCGGAGGAGGCGGCGATGTCCGCCTGCAGGGCAGGGCTCCCGAGGGGGGAGGTGAGGATGCCGGACCCACGTTTGCCGAACTGGGTTTGGGTGAACAGCAAGAGGACCCCCCGGGACCCCCACTGCCGACGAGGACAACGCGAGCGGTTGCTGTCACCCGGGGAGTGGCGCCGCCGCCCCTGTCCCTGTCCCGGCGCGGGGCCGAGGGCGGTCCCGGCCGGGGCGGCCGCTGGGAGAGCGGCGGGGGGTGCGGGGAGCCCATAAAGCACCGCCCGGTGGGCCGGCGCCGCGCACTGCCGGGCTGGGCGGCGGGACAGCGGGAGCACGGCTGGGAGAGCTGGGGGCACAGCCATGAGGGAGATCGTGCACATCCAGGCGGGACAGTGTGGAAACCAGATCGGGACCAAGGTGAGCCTGAAGGGGAGCCGCTGGTTGCCCGCCGCTGGCGGAGCCTATGAGCGCCCGGGAGACGCGCCCGGTTGTTCCTCGGGGCTGTGGGACCCCTCGGGGCTGTGCTGGGCTGGGCTGTGCCCCCCGCCACCCCCCGCTCCCCTCCGGCCGCCCGTGCCCCGAGCGAGCCGCTGTGAGCGGCGCCGGGCGCGCCCGGGGCACCGCGCATCGCACCGCTCCCCGTGACCATAAAAGGCTTTGGGAAGTACCCAAACCAGACGGGACCTCTTTTAAAAATTATTTTTTTAAATTATTTTTGCGTTGAAACCGTCCAGGCTGCGGTTCAGGAGCGGGGGGCGGTGACACAGCCCGAGCGGCCCCTGGGAGCGCTGAGGCGGCGCAGCCCGCCCGGGCGGGGAGCGGGGCGGCCGCCCCTACTTCGTTGGATTTGAATCGTGGTGCCTGCCCCGCTCCCGCTGGCGGCGCGGGCAGGGAGGGGCGGCGGGCACGCCTGGAATCCGGCAGCTGCCGCGGGGCCGCCGCCCGCCCGGGAGCTGGGCAGGGCCCCCGGTGCTCCGCGGGGGAGTTCCCAACCCGCTTCTCGCTTTTCCTCCCTTAGTTTTGGGAAGTAATAAGTGATGAGCATGGCATTGACCCAGCCGGAGGCTATGTCGGTGACTCAGCGCTGCAGCTGGAAAGGATCAATGTCTACTATAATGAATCATCTTGTAAGTGTGGGACGGGGAGGGGAGCGGGACAGGAGACTCCGTGGGAAGGGGCACAGGAGTCTGGAAGACAATTGCACATCTGTCCACCTTCCTCGCATTCCATTGGGTCCCCTAGCTGTGCCCGGCTCAACCCACTACACACAGAAAATACTATCTACTTTCTTACGAAGTGTTAAGATAATTGGGTGTTATCTCCGCAGACAGAGAGAAGTGGCCCAAGGGACTATCCTTAGGGTCTGGATGTGGACATTTGTTTTTTATTTAGCACAACGGTTTGCTCTTCTAACACATGATTACTTCATCAGATGCATCTTGTCAATTACCTTAAATTAAACGGTTGGTTATATGAGCCTGCATCTGTAGTACTCTGTCTCTAATTTCATGAATGAGAGGGTTGGGCCATAGGTAATAGAGAACTGAACAGTAACTCATTAATAGGGTGCCAGAGGCGTCCAAATCCCCTGAGTCAGTCTGGTGTTGGAAGGTGTTAACAGTGTAAAATGGAGATCTTGAGTCCTTTGGTCTATTGACACGAACCTGCAAGTGTGAATGTTTCATCTTTTGTCCAGCTTGGGTTAATTCATATCATTTAACTGAGTTTGCTTGAACAACTTCAATTTGATACGGATTTTTTATTTTGTGCTTTGTGGTAGATATGCTGTTTGCCATGTACACCAAGTAGCTCTTTCAGTGGATGAGAATCCTTCAAGCATTAAAGTTTGTGAGATGTATTAGGATCATTTGAACATAAACACTTTCCCCCCCCTGTTATTCACAGAAAATATTACCTACTTTGTTATAAAGAACATGTAAACTGTTTTTTCTAATCAGAAACTTCCCTCCCTCATATCTATTGCTAATAAAGAACTTACAGAATGTTATATACCATGTATAGAACCCAAAAGATGTCAGCTCTGTTTTTCAAGCTGTATCGATTTGTTGCTAGAGTGCTGGGTTTTTCACCACCGTGACTTTCTGTACAGGAAGTACTTATATATGTATGAACTATGTATTAGAGTAACAGTGTGAGACATATTTCTGTATTAAGGGCTATAACTGTGTCAGAGCATTAAGGGCATGCTTGCTTTTTATTGCAGCCCAGAAATTTGTACCAAGAGCAGTATTGGTGGACTTGGAGCCGGGAACCATGGATAGTGTGAGATCCGGTCTTTTTGGTCAGCTCTTTCGGCCCGATAATTTCATCTTTGGTATGTGGATGTTACTTTTTAAAAAACAGAGCTCTTTTTTGTAAAAAACAAAGCAGCTGTTTGATTAGCAAGTGAATGGTCAAAAAGCATTTAATCTCTTTATTCCAAAGCGATCCTACTGATAAATCCTAATAAGCTAACAATGCGATTGCAATTATCTGTAAGTCAGTCAAAAGATCCTGTTAACTGAAAAAGTCATTCTTCTGTTAAATCATTCCTTCAATTAGCAAACTGCTGAGAGTTTCCTATGGTATTCAGATAAAGTACATTTGCTTTCCATATATGTGAACTCCAGAGAAATCCTGAGGCCACTTCTTTACAACAAAATGTATGGAAATTCTGCAGAAAAATGGAGGGGCGAGGGAAAACCTCAACCACAAACCAACTGGACTACTCTTCACTTGAATTCTTATTAAATGCTTGAGCATTGAATTGTTTTTAGGCTATGTAATTAAACTTTTTCAGTAGATCCTTATGGTATAGTAATAGTGGAAGAAGACCAACTGTAACATGGAAAACACTGTCATTACTGGTTTATTTTCCAGCATAATGAGAAGCAGTCTGAGAGTACGTGGAGAACTGGTTTTGCAGTGTTCTTGCAGAGGGTTGGTTTTGCCTTTACTGTTCTGCTTTGGAATTCTGTGGTACTTTCCATCTAAGCTTAAAAATGCATATTATCCTTTCTGAGCAGCCTTATGAAGTACAGAGGTGTTATCAGTTCCTTTGCACTAAAGGAGAAACAGCATGTGGAAGTTAAGTGATCCACTTTCTGAAACAGGAAGTCTGAATGAAAGCTACCATGAGAACTCTTGTGTCCTTTTGGTGTCCAAGTTTGCACTAGCCACAAACATTTCCTTCTGACAAGGCAAGCTTAGGTTGGAACTTAGTTTGGTATATCATGTCAACATAAGGAAGGAACAATGCCAAGGACGGACAGAGAAAAGATAAACATTACTTGGGTGGTATAAAATAAACTTAAGTCTAGGTTGTTGCTGGTGAGGTGGGAAGTAAAGAAGCCATGCAGAGTTCCTTTAAGTCTTTGACTCAAAACTTTTAATGCTATCCCCTGTTGTTCTCCTGTAAATTCCATGGCAGGGATGTTAAGGGTCTCTTCCAACATGTTACAACATGGAGAAGTAAGCTTAGGGAGAAAAGCCATAAACATAGTCAGCTTTATGAAGTATGTTTCTATATTCAGGTTTCTCCTTTCATTCCCTTTCCCCTGCATGGACCACATAAGCCCTCTGAAAGTGAATTCACCTGACCTATGGAAATACCTGAACTGGAGCTTTGCAGTTTGGCACCCCACCAGTAAAACCAGAGCAAAATCAATTCAGAATGTCTTCAACAATAGTCCTGTTAACTGTACTCCCTTCCTGCCAAGATAACAATGAACCAACAGCATGTGATCAACTCGTATCTGACAGAGGCCCCTGCCAGCATCAGGCACTGTCCTCCCAACCTGCTGAATAATGTAGAATGGCTGAGCGCTGAAGTAATGATCAAATCTGGCCTGGGCCCACAAAGGATTTTGTGGCAGAAGCTGGCAGTCCCACACTTGCTGTACCCCAGGCTGTTAGGGTTCATTCTGATGGAGATGTTTTCCACCTCTGCAAGTAACCATGGACCGTCAATCAGGATTTCATGCAGGTATACTGAGTACATGATCGCATATTCCAGATATGGGAATTTGTCTCAGACCAGCAGGAGATTTGAGATGGATACAAAACAATCCTTATACTTTAATGCTTGTGTTGACAAGGTAGTGATCTGAACGTGAAGAAGCACAGTGGAATGATCTTGTTGTATGAGCAGCAGGTCTCCTGGCCTTCTAACAGCATACAGTTGCCCACCCAGAACTCTGAACTCTGAACTCTGATGTATCTCTTCCCGTTAACCAGTTTTCATTTGTACATTTTTGCATTTGTCTTTCTTTTTTGTGTACACCCTTGTTAGATTTGCTACATAGATACCACTTCAATTTAAATTGTATGAACTGGTGGGAGCAACCACAAAGTGGCTGTCAGGCAGTCACAGACAAGTTCTGCAGCAAGGCTGTTCACAATAGGCTTCTAAGCATTAGTATACAAAGTACTGCCCTTTCTTACCAGGTTTGTCTTCTATTTGAAGCCGTGAAGAGAGGAAAGGAGTGAGAGAAGATTGCAGAAAACAGTTGTCATTTTAGGGATTAAAAAATACATTGACTATTCACAAATGGCTTCTCTGCATGTGTAGCTCAACCTGAATGTCTTTGATAACCCTACAGTGTGCTGTAAAAAGAAAGTGATAGAAGGATCTGGAAGTGCCAAGAGTGCAGATAAGTTGTGGGGTTGCTTCGTGTAGACTTCTTTAGATCCTGGCAAACGTACAGTGAGAAATGACAGAGGCAGTATGCTAGAGATGGGCTGCGTACAACGCAGAGCTTCCAAGACTAGCAAAAGGTTTGCCAAGTCCCGAATTTTGTGGACACAGGCTCGTTTTCCACCTAGAGAATTTAGTCCTGGTGAAACTTTATAATTTTTGTGTTTGCTTAGGATTTTCAGAGGTCAGGTAGGTGGACACCTGATAAGTGGAGGCCATCCAGTAGAGTTTCACAGGATAGGAGTCAGGATTTCCAGGTGTGTGGCAGTCTTGGCACCTCCAGACCACACTGTATTGTCATGGAGCTTCCAGGGCTTATTTTACATGTTGCATGTGGTGGTAGTGATGGTCTTACAGTGCTGTAGAGCTAGTGGGTCTGGAAATACAAGATTACTGGGTATAAACAGCAGAAAATTTCCAATGAAAATGTCAGAGACCCTAGGCACATGACTGACTAGTGGAAGAAGTGCAGTGTTATCACAGTAGTAGCCAAAAGAGGGCTGGAGGGAAGCCATTAGTTTTGGTGTTGCCAGCCACTGGTACAGTTTAGATACAGAGGTTTAGATACAGAGGTTGTGATAGTGCAATAGAGAGAGTTGGTATGGCAGTAGTTGTGTGGGCATCCTGGAATTTGTGTGATGCAGAGTAAGGCTGGGGGAGTCTAGTACACTGGAGGGCCCAAAGGAGGATATGTCCACCTCTGCGTTAGTCATGCTACCTTCTAAATTTTGCAAACTTAATCTGCAAACAAACCAAAAGCAAGTAAAATCAGTTTCTACTGATTTTTTTTTTTCCCCATGAAAATAAAATTTTCACGTTTGTTAGAGTAATTGCCATTCTCTTCTTACCTTGTGTTTTGTTCCTATTTCCTACTTCTTATCTCGCTGCCCACTGAGGAAGAACAACACATTGTTTACACAAGGGGCAACCTGTAAGATGAAGTCCTAAACTCAGAAGGATCCTAACAGAGCTAAATTCTGCATTTTGGAGTTATGTCTGTTTGTTTGTGTGCATCCTGACATGCTGCCCTATCTGTAGTAGGGGATCTGCTCAAGCAGACTGCAGATGGTTACAAACATATTTAATTCTGGAAGGATATTACTATATGCTTTGCCCAGCTGGACAGGAAGTGGTGAGCTCCCTGGGCTCAAAGCGTGAAAAATATAGCAGCATACAGAACAATGCATTAACTAACCAAATACATCATGAGGAAACCAAGCATTTATGTAGTGAAAATAAAGTGCATAATATTTAAAAAATATCCCAGCCAGCAGTTTCCCTGGTTGATGTGTTTGGCACCAACACAGTGCACTGGGAATTGAAATGAGACATGGTAATAGGAAGGGAGGAGAAGGTCTTGGAGAACAACTCAGAATTTGTCAGCTGTACACTTAATTCTGAAACTACTGCTCTTCCTGAATACCACTCACAGGAGTACACTGAGTGAGTTCAGAGGCACAATGTATGTATATAGTAGTCACTGTGAGGAACAGGAATGTTAAAAAACTGATCCCCTGTTTAATCATCTTTGTTATCTAAGTAGTAACAAAATGGTGGCATAGCAAATGATCTGGACTGTTCATCTTAATAAACTGAGTGGCACACAAAAGGAAAATAGCCTTGTGGAAGAAAAGAAGAGGTTTATGAAACATCAGTAATCCAATTTTGCAAGTTGCTTTGCACATCCTGAAGAACAGTGAGTTTGTAGGGAAACCAGTAAAACCTAAAAGGCACTTAACTTCCACGTTTTTGAAGTAATGGTCTTGAAGCTTCTGTTGATCAGTATTTTCATTCATGAAATTAAAAAAGCTTAAAAGTTCCTGATATAACAAATTAAATAGGACTTGTGAAGCCCAGCTTTATTCTTGAATGACAGTGTTGCCTCTGTGCCTCATAGAACAGTCCAAGAACCTTTAATTTAGAAATATATATCTGTGGTTTAGATTTGTATGCATCATGGTCCTTATAGACAGGAGGTTGTTTAATATTAAAGAGTCATCTTGTGTTTACAGAAAAATCAGGATTGGAAGTGTGAAAGCTTTCAAAAGAAGGAGTCAAGGCTACCTTTGCATTTATGGAAGGTAAAATGCCAAAAAAGAAAAAAAAATGCCCAAAGACATAAATGAAAACTACCAGATACTAAAAAATTTATGTTGATACTTCCAGTAATAATATAATATTATATTTATATATATATGAGAGCAGGCAAAACTGAAGACCACAGTTATCTACCTGACAGATTTATAGCAGCTTTTGTTACAGATATTAATCCATTCAGCATACAAACATCAAAGCTTACTAATAATTTTATGGGTTTTTTTTCCTGTCATATGTTATTTTAGGACAAACTGGTGCAGGAAACAACTGGGCTAAAGGACACTACACAGAAGGGGCAGAGTTGGTCGACTCTGTACTTGATGTAGTAAGAAAAGAGTGTGAACACTGTGATTGCTTGCAAGGATTTCAGCTCACTCATTCCCTGGGAGGAGGGACAGGATCTGGCATGGGAACCCTACTCATCAGCAAGATACGAGAGGAATATCCCGACAGGATAATGAATACCTTTAGTGTCATGCCCTCTCCAAAGGTTTCTGATACAGTGGTGGAGCCTTATAACGCTACGCTTTCAGTCCACCAACTGGTTGAAAATACAGATGAAACCTACTGCATCGACAATGAAGCTTTGTATGACATTTGCTTCCGCACCCTGAAGCTCACCACTCCAACATATGGTGATTTAAACCACTTGGTTTCTGCTACCATGAGCGGGGTAACTACATCGCTGCGTTTTCCAGGCCAACTGAACGCTGACCTCCGGAAGCTGGCAGTGAATATGGTCCCCTTCCCACGCCTTCACTTTTTCATGCCAGGCTTCGCTCCTTTGACAGCCCGAGGCAGCCAACAATACCGAGCACTCACTGTTCCAGAGCTCACCCAGCAGATGTTTGATGCCAAAAACATGATGGCAGCCTGTGACCCGAGACATGGCCGATATTTGACAGTGGCTACCGTCTTCCGTGGTCCCATGTCGATGAAGGAGGTTGATGAACAGATGTTGGCCATCCAGAACAAGAACAGCAGTTACTTTGTGGAGTGGATCCCAAACAATGTCAAGGTGGCAGTGTGTGACATCCCTCCCCGTGGCCTCAAGATGGCTTCCACGTTCATTGGCAACAGCACTGCTATTCAAGAGCTCTTCAAAAGGATCTCGGAGCAGTTTTCGGCCATGTTCAGGAGAAAGGCCTTCCTCCACTGGTTCACAGGAGAGGGAATGGATGAAATGGAATTTACAGAAGCAGAAAGCAACATGAATGACCTGGTTTCAGAGTATCAGCAATATCAAGAAGCAACAGCAAATGATGGAGAGGAAGCGTTTGAAGATGATGAGGAAGAGATCAATGAATAAAGAAATTAAGTGTGCAATTTTTTTCCAGACCAAGTTCTCAATTCTCAATTTCTGATAATTAGGCTTGTAAATCCATATTTATGTTAAAAAAAAAAAAAAGGGAGCGTGAATTTCAGATGTTAAGAGGTGCTCTTCAGAGTCCATTGAGATCACTGAGAACATTCAGCGTTTCTGGAAATAGGGCCATTTCTATTCATGAGACAAACGTAAGGCATTCAGTTAAGGCTTTGGCCTAAGAGTCTGAACACAGAGATTGCTAGTTTGGGATCTTTTTTTTCCAAACAGGTTGTCATCCCTAAAGTTCTAGAAGAGAAGATGTAAAATAGGCTTGAAAATCTACAAATTAGAGCTGCGCTATTTTCATCCAGTTATGGGTAAGAAAATCTTGTGGGTTTGAAGCACTCATTCTGTACCAAATGTACACTATTGAACTGCCAGAATAAAAAGAAGAAAAAGTTTTTTCGTATTCTGTACAGTAACTGCTTACAGTGATACTTGATTTCAGTCCTCTGAAACCAAAATAAAAATTATTAGTATCCTCTCAAGCAGAAGTGTTTTGGGTGGTCAATGCTACATAAATATCCAGTGAACTGCAGGCTAGAGGCTGGATTTGTGACTTGACCACAGGTTATATATATGAAGTCTATCAATTTGTGATGAGTTCTTCATGGATCCCTAGGATTTAAAGTGACACCCCAGTATGTTGCTGGTCCCCTGTCTTTCTGACTATCACCAGTTGCAGGTGCTATTCCTATCCCTATTCCACCCAACCCATATAGCTGAAATACAGATATTCCACAGATGAGGGTGGGAGAGGGGATGTAGGCTACGTGTCAACAGATCTCACTACCTAGGTTTGTAAGTTCAGCACACCTATAGATGCTGTGCATGTCTTGCTACCAAGATAGGTTAAAATAACTGGACAGATTAAGGTTGAAGTACAAGAGCATTTATCCACAATATTCAAAACTGCTGGCAAAATTAAAGATGAACAACAGATTTATCTGCTCACAGTAAAGCCAAACCAGAGAGATCTCTGCATAAGCCAGCTGACAAAGTGATTGTTGGGCATTTGCTCTTTGTGCATGCTTTATGTTTCTGCTCATATCAATTAAACGGCCCTTCTCCATTAGAGAGCCTCCACCAGAGAACACTCTGTCTACATGGAGTGTCTTATTTAGGTCAGTTTCTAGGCAACAGAACAAGCAAACAAAGGAGAAACCCTCCGGAAAGCCAAACTTTAAATGTTTCAGGAACTCTTTGTTTTTTCTTCTTGCCTTCAGAAGCACTTTCCAAGCAAAATGTGTTGCTCAATACTTAAAAAGGCACTTTACAAACATAGTGTAATTTCTAAAGATCCATTGCTCCTGACAACATGATGTTATGTTTTGTTAGTTTGGGATTCAGGGAATGACACAGTGTTTTATGAAATATATGAACCAGGCTACTGTTAATCACTTGACCTGAAGCTGTCTTCCTGATTCTGTGCCACATAGAAATGGAACTAAATTAGCTTTAATCAAGTACAAGTTTTTCATGGTAACATAAAGTGACTTCAGGGGTTGAGACACAGCTGCTGGAACATACTGACCAAGTTGGCTTTGGCATAGGGGTGTAGGCAGAGACTGGCTGATTGTCTTTAGGAGAGTCGTAATGGAGGCAGCAAATTCACAGGGGCCACGTTCGTTGCAATGTCTAGTGATGCCTAAAGGATTTATGAACAGCAATAGAACACCTTTAAATATGCATTTTGTAAATGTGAGATGTGGTTATGTATTAATCACAGCATGAGATAAAGTTATAACACAATATGCATTAAAGAGAATTAACATGTATCACCAACACAAAGCAAAAGCAAAATCCATTGGGAATAAAGCCATTAAACTTCAAAGTTTAGTTGATTCTTTGTAAATGGCAGGCTATTGTCTTCGCAAGGGAGGAGAATGCATTACAGGCTCAGAGCTTGCTATCACACAGCTTTCCAATTAAAGCACTAGCATTGTTACTTCCAAATGAAATAGAACTAACCATCTCACCACATGTGGAACTGTGTTTTATTATAATACAAAATTCATACCTAGGTCCAAGCCATACGTTTTTATATTACTGCGGGAGAAAAAAAAAGTTCATACTTTAAAAATGCCAGGAATCTTGGCATTCCTAAATAATTGAGTGATTCACCTGGTGAACCAGCCTGTTCTTTATTGCTTTTTGTACACTTGATGCAAAATGCAGAATATAGACTCTGAGGCTGTGGAATCCAGACCTGACAATGTTCTCTGATCCTGCTTTGACTCACCCAGTCTTTCACATGTGTTTACTTGCAACTGTTTGGTGTGAATTTCTAGAATGTGTGGAGGAATTTCTAGAATGTGGGGGAGGAAAACTAATGCCCTCTTTAGAAAAAAGAGACAAATCTTCTATTTGATCTTAGGGGGGAAATACCCAAGCCACCAAAATGAACCCAGGAACCAGTGGTAGGGACATCATAGGAGGACCAGCTTACATACAGGCAGTAAGAGAGGCCTGGGAAGCACAAATGTTTCCTGTTCCTCTTCAGTCAACGAACTCTTATCATCTTCCTTTCCTGACATACAACTGAAAATTGTTTTAGTAACGGGCTTAGTGAACAATTCCTCCAGCTGCCCTTCCTTTCAAATAACTTCCTGCTTTTTGCTTGGAAATCTCTGATTTTGAAATCTGCATGCTGAGTCTCACCTAGCTTTGTTCCTCTTCCTCTCACATTCCTCGCCTATGTGTTTTTCATTTCCCCTCTAAATTTTCAGCCTAGTCTCTTGCACCTTTTATTTCTCTGGCTTGGCCCACCTTCATTTTCTCTCTTTTTTACTGCTTTGCACCTGGCCACAGGAAATACCTAGAAGCAGGCTGCCAGGACAAGCCAGACGTGTGGAAGCCTGGAAGTGCAGCTCTTAGCACCGCCCAGATGCAGACACCTGTGTCAGCCTTAGGATGAGAAGAAAAAATAGCAACTTACACCACTCGAAAACAGGGAGTGGGTGAGGTGTTGCATGGAAAGAAGGTGTGGTATTGGAATCTAACCTGATGGGCCAGCTCCTTTGCAAAGTTGCTCCGGGCAAAGCCAGCAAGGAATTGGGCAGGCCCTTGGCTTCGACATGACAGCCCTTGTGCATTCCACCTTAACCAAGCCACCTTAGGCTCTTCATCTCTCTGCATCCCACAATTACTGCTCTCCATTCCTTCTCTTGCACATGTATCGCCTTAGGAAAAGGTCGTCACCTCTTAGGGACAGACTCAGGTTGGGAAAGAGGGTCTAGATCTGCTCCTTCTCCCAGCAGTGAGAGGAACAGAAAACTCAGCAGCTCCCTCTGCACCGCACAAGCCCCTGCTAATTAAGGCAACACTGCTCAGTGTGTTTGCAAGAAAAGTTAATCCAGCATTATTGGCAGCCATAGCCCAGTCTAAACTTGATTTTCTTGATTTATGTTCAGCCACTTGACAAATTTGTGAGGAGAAAGCAGCTAACTGTCCTCTTCAGAGAGGCTGGTTGGGTAGACTGCTTTTTTTTGTTGTTGATTTTCCATATCTTTGTTTTGATTCTAAAATCCTAACACTGTCAGATTCTGCAATTTTTGGCACAAAATATTAGGACCTACTGAGGTAAGGCTAAACAAGGAAATTAATGCTCTAAAATAAAGGAGAGGTAAGGCCACTATAATGCACTTATTAATTGCATGCTGCAACTAAACAAGAGTGGAATTTAAAAGTACACAGCACAAACAGGGAGTAAGAGAAAACATTTCCTGCAAAGGAGACAATTCTTTCACAGTGTGGTAGTACCATTGTGAAAAGTCAGGTAAAGGGTTTTTGGGGTTTGGTTGGTTGGTTGTTGTGTTTACTGTTAGTTTTATTTAGCAAGGAATGAAGAAATGCAGAATTCTGGCCTTTACTGTCTAAGGACAGCTAGTCCTCAGCACTGGGTACAAACTGCCTATACCAAACAAGAAGTGTTGAGCTAAACTGAGGGAGGGAGAATAGAACAAACAAGGCACTAATACAGAATACATGTAAGATACAACCTAGAGCACACACGCAGAAATCAGTCACTGCTTTACCATGTTTGCAAGATTTAAGTTTTATAAAACAACTATTGCAATAAATCATTCTAAACTTTGACTCCAGTAATTAAGGAAATGAAGTTTAGTTTTTTCAGACTGCTTTCCTGTTTCTCCTTCATTCTACAACAAACTCAATAGGGATAAACACATGTGTTTAACAACTAAAAATGCCCAGTAAATATGCCCTAGGTTGCTATATTTGCTGTTTCCCTTGCTCCTCTTCTCTGTAAAGCTAGGCAACAGAGATGGAAAAAGCTTCATTGTGAAGGAAAAGAAAATCCAAAATAATAATTTCCACAAACAACTTACTTCAAATAACTTGAGCAAAGGCTCTGATCTTTCAGACATTTTCCTTTGTCCTCCTACTGCTTTCCATTATGTTGCAATATACAGATGGAATCAATCACTAGTTATCTCCTTAAGCTGCCCTCTGACTTGTAAGCCTTAAAGGAGTTCTAGTCCAGCAGAGAAGCTTGGTTCATTTTCCTTCCCCACTTAACCCCCAACCACACTTCCCATCTGCTGGGATGGGGACATGGGCCCTTTGAATTTTTGAAATCTCCAACTAATGAATCCTTAGCATGCAGCAGACAACCAGAAGCAGATTATTAAGACAACTGCATTCAACTAAGCAGAGGAAAAGAAAAAGCCCCATAGCTTTAGTTTAAGCAAACCAATATGAAACTCACAACCTCTGGGTTTGGCTGCTGGTTTTGGCATTTGTGAGCACAACCTTGCTACCCTAATTTAAGAAAGAAAGTTTTGTACTGGTCTGAATTCTACACCAAGAAAATATAAAAAAAAAAAAAAAGCAAGCTTTGTTCAGAAAAGTACTGTTTTTATTGACTCAAACTGTATTTACACAACACATTCATATGTTCAATATTTTACAGAACTCTGTAAAAAACTGACTAGTAAAACTGCAGGAGCCAAACTGAGTTTAATTTAAGACACTGAACCATGAGTACATTTTAAGGTATTTAAGCAACTGTCCAGTTTCAGTGTCAACTTACATGGCAGTTGTCTGTAGACAAACT